AGAGCGGAGCGGCGAGCACGTGAGCCCAGGGCCCGCCCTCCGCTCCCCCGCCGCCCCCGTCCCCCCAAGCCCCGCAGGGCCCGGGCTGCCGCCGCGGGAGGACAAAAGAGGCGCCGCCCCGGGGTCCCTTCCCGCACCTCGGCGGCCCCTCGGCAGGTGCGGGGCGGCGGCGCTCCGCGTCCTCATCCCGCGGCTTCTCCTCTGCCACCTCTGCCTGAGCATCTACCGAGGACCCGTAGATTTGTAGGGGAGGGAGGCAGGCAGGGGACAGGGGGACCCCCGGGGCCGAACCTGCGACCTCCCGTCTGGGGCTGGGTCGCGGGGCGTGTGGCTGCTGCGCCTTCGTTCGCCCTCGATAGTGGTACCCAGAGAGGCTGCCCCAGCGCCGGCCCCAGCCCTGAGTGCCCCGATTGACCCCGGGCCCTGGGAGCTGGGGTTGGGGTGGGCAGAGGCTCTTGGCGAACGCCCCGCTCCAGGATTTCTTGCCCTTTCCCCACGGGTCGTGTCACTGCGGAGTCCTCCCACGCCCGCCGTCCAGACCCCTTCCCATCGGCTCCTTCTCCCAGCCAAAGACGCCGGTCCTCCAGGAGGGCTTCAGGGATCGCTGTCACTCCAACCATCAGGAAGGGCGGCATCTCCTTCTAGGCTCCTGAGTCTCTCACAGGCACCCTGTCCTTCTCCCTAGACAAAATATAAACTGGCCAGGTCACTTACATGCTGCTAGCATGGCCCATGGCTCCTCCTCCCTTGCTAGTCCCAATCCTTATGAGCAGAAGACATCTCTAGAGTCCCCCAGCCTCCCATCTCTTGTCAGACTAGGCTGCCCTGTTTGCAAAATACTGGACCTCCCAACCTACATCCCCAGCTGTGCCCTCCACCCAGCTCCTGGGGACGATAGGTCCCAATACTAGGACTGGGACCTCAGACTTCTGCTAGAGGTGCTGAGGGTCAGGTATGTGAGATAGTGTGGGGTGTGGCAGGGCAAGGTGGGTGGGCTGCTGATGAGGCCCCACCTTGACATTTTTGGTACCCATACTAGGGGACCACAGGTTGCTGAAGAACAAGATTGGAGGCAGGGAACCCCTTCCTGGGTCCTCTGCTTCCCCAAGGATCCAGGGCCTCTACTGGGGATGAGGGAGCTGCCTCTGGCTTGTGACACCCCCCCCCCCCCCGCCACCCCCTGCTCTATTTTAGGCCCTGGAGAGGTGAGAAGGCGATTTCCCAGGAGGCGCTGACATCAATGCAGGGAACGAAGTGACTCCCCCCATCCCCAACCACCTGCCATGCCAGACCCAGATGCTCAGCAAGGCTGAGCCAATTCTTCCTTCGCTCTGGAGACATCTCAAGAACCTCCTCCAAGATGTAGGCGCGAAGAGGCTCCTGAGAATGAGGGCCTACTACGTGGTAGTCCCTGGAAACTCACAATGAGTCCAGAGGGAGAGATTGTGCTCCCCATTTTACAGATGGGGAAACTGAGGCTCTGAGAGGTTATGTGAGCTTCCCAAAGTCACAAGGCTGGTCAGTGAGAGGCACCTCCCATGCTCCAGGCCCACTCTTCTTAGCTATCCCTAGTCCTACTTCCTCTGTCTGAAACCAGAGAGGACTGGTATATCTGGTCCCTTGCACATCACCACACACATCAGACACCAAGGTGGCTGTTCTGCCCCAGCCTGCCCATGTCCCAGGGCCACATCAGCAAGTCCTGATCAGGAGTGCCCCCCAGAAGCCTGGATGAGATTTGTCATTTCACAGTAGAGGCCTGGGGCTGGGAGAGTCTGGGTCCTCCGACATGTTCAAGACCACAGAGCAAGCCCAGTTCGTGGTCCAGGCCCCTTCACCAGACACACGTTCCTACCACATCAGTGGCCCTGGGACCCTAACTTCCTGTTGGGGAGAACTGATGGGCCCTAAGAGTGACTCTCCCTGGTGACACTCTGGGCTAGTTCCAGTGGGGACTCAGTCATATGACTCCCTGGCCCCCATAGCCACTTATATTCCTGGGTTCCCCAGCTCCCAGCAGATCTGGCTATAACTTATTTTTTTTTAACTTGTTTAATTTTTTTGGAGAGAGTTTTGCTCTGTCGCCCAGGCTGGAGTGAAGTAGTGTGATCTTGGCTCACTGCAACCTCTACCTCTGTGGTCAAGTGATTCTCCTGCCTCAGCCTATCAAGTAGCTGGGACAACAGGCATGTGCTGCCACCATGCCCGGTTAATTTTTTTGTATTTTTAATAGAGATGGGGTCTCACCATGTTGCCCAGGCTGTTCTCAAACTCTTAAATTTGGGAGTTTGTCCTCCCAAAGTACTAGGATTACAGGTGTGAGCCACTGTGCCTGGCCTAGACCTTTTTTCTTTTTTTTTTCTTTTTTATTTATTTGAGACAGAGTCTCACTCTGTTGCCCAGGCTGGAATGCAGTGGTGCAATCTCGGCTCACTGCAACCTCCACCACCTGGGTTCAAGTGAATCTCCTGTCTCAGCCTCCCAGCTAGCTAGGATTACAGGTGTGCACCACCATGCCTGGCTAATTTTTGTATTTTTAGTAGAGATGGGTTCTTGCCATGTTGGCCAGGCTGGTCTTGAACTCCTGACTTCAAGTGATCTGCCCGCCTCAGCCTCCCAGTGTTGGGATTACAGGCGTGAGCCACTGTGCCCATTTTTGTATTTTTGGAGAGATTGAGTTTTATCATATTGTCCTGGCTGGTCTCAACTCCTGGACTCAAGAGATCCACTCATCTCAACCTCTCAAAGTGCTAGGATTACAGGCATGAGGCCAGTGCTTGGCTATTTCAAAAAATTTTTTTGTAGAGATGGGGTTCTTGCTATGTTGCCCGGGCTAGTCTTGAACTCCTGGACTCAAGTGATCCTCCAGCCTCAGCCTCCCAAAGTACTGGGATTACAGCACTTTGGCAAGACCTCTTGCCTCTCCCTTGACCGCAGTCCCCAGCCCCTGAGGTTCTACCTCCCCTGTCTTGTGCTTGCCTCAGTTCTCTTAGGGGCCGTGGGTTCCCCACACAGAAAGCTTGCTTCACATTCCCTCACCTACCTTCCCTCCTGAGGTCAGGGCTGTCTGTCTTCTCATTGGTGGCCCCTCATCAGACTGGGACTTCAGAAGCAGGGCTGTCTCCCTATCAGACCTGACCCTGATAGCAAGGGCTGTTTTCTGCTTAGATTGGAGCAGGCCTGTGTCTTCTCTTAAAACATAGGGTTCCCTAGGGGGAACCACTCCAACTCCACAGCTATGGCTGGCTCCTTTGGTCCCTATGCCCATCCCTTGAGGCTAAGGCCACTGTTTCTGCTGCCTGATGCCACCCTTGGGGTTGTCCTTGCTGAGGGAGCTGTGGGGCCCTGCCTAGGGGTTGGGCTCTGGCCTCCCTTAGCACCCCCCTCCCCTAGGAGGCTGGAGCCTCCTTCTTTCCACCGCTCTTCCAACCCATCAGCCAATTCTCTCCAATTTTCTTGCACAAGGGCCAAGCCAAGGATGTGGGGCCAAGACCTGTCTCTGCAACTACAGGTAAGGATGGGGTACTGGCTATCCCCAATCCTGGGGTGGTACCATGGACAGTGACTCCTGCCAGTGGAGGCCCCCCAGGCCTGGTGTCCAGCCTCGAGGCCTGTAGCACAGACCGTGCTAGGCAAGATGGTGCGTGGGCAAGGGCAGGGTTGAGGGCTCCAGGCTGGGGTCCCAATCCTGCCTCCCGCAAGAACTGGCTGGGTGTCCTTGAGCAAGCCCACTGGCCTCTCTGGGCTTTGGTTTCCTCATCCATGACACGGGGGTGAGAAAAGCACCTCCCTCTCGGTGCTGCTGTCGGGGATGATGGCTGCGCCGCCTATGCTTGAAGCAGCATCTGGCGCATGAAAGGGGATCACTCTCAGCTTGTACCGAGGAGCAAACCGGCTCCCTGGCCCTTTCTTGCCCAGGACCCCAGGCCTCTCTATGGCTTTGGGGCCCCAGGGCCCTCTCTCTAGCTCATGCAAAGAGAACCTCAGCCTGATGACGTGATGTGGGGGGTGGCAGCAGGGGAAATGCCCAGATTGGACAGGAAGTTCACCCTGTCTCCTCTCAGATGCCAGCCCAGGGTCCCAAGGATCATTCTCATCTGCACAGCTCTCCCAGGAAACCTCATGCTCCTCCCTCTCAGGTTTTAATCTCTGAAGCTCTCAGCCTTCACCAATGGAGAAGTTGGGGGCACCTGGGGCACCCGGATCCCAGGCACACTCATCCTTTGAGAGGCTTGTGGGGCACAAATATGGTCACACCCATAAGGGCCCAACTGCCACTTCTCTTCCACACAAGGGATCCTCCTGGAGCAGAGGAGAGTTGGCCCTTGGGAGGGGGCCTGGGACAGGTGGTCTCGCAGTGCCCCTCAGCAGCTTCATTTACAAATGCACACTGAGATGAGGACACCGGTCACCAAGGGAAACCGCCAGTTGGGAGATTGTGAGAATAAGCTCTATGTAAGTCTAGGAGGGAGGCCTCACAGGCACGTGTACCTTTGGGTAATGTTATTTGTTGAGACAATGTGCTAAGCTCTGTACCACATACCTCACAAACACATCTAATTTCATTCTTGCGACTTCCTAGCAAGGTAGTAACTATGATTGCCTCCATTTTAAATTTTTATTTATTTATTTTGAAATAGAGTGTTGCTCTGTTGCCCAGGCTGAAGTACAGTGGCGCAATCTCAGCTCACTGCAACCTTCATCTCCCAGGTTCAAGTGATTCTCCTGCCTCAGCACCCCTAGTAGCTGGGATTACAGGTGCCTGCCATTGTGCCTGGCTAACTTTTGTATTTTTTTTTTTTTTTTGAGATGGAGTCTTGCTCTGTCGCCAGGCTGGAGCACAGTGGTACAGTGTTGGCTCACTGCAACCTCCGCCTCCTGGGTCCAAGTGATTCTTCTGCCTCAGCCTCCCAAGTAGCTGGGACTACAGGCGCATGCCAAACGCCCGGCTAATTTTTGTATTTTTAGTAGAGACGGGGTTTCACCATGTTGGCCAGGCTGGTCTCGAACTCCTGACCTCAAGTGATCCGCCTGCCTCAGCCTCCCAAAGTGCTGAATTACAGGCATGAGCCACCACACCCAGCCTAGATTACCTCCACTTTTAGATCAAGAAAACAGTTTGAGTTGGGCACAGCTGAAACTCCCCTGGGAAGGGAGCTAAGGTCCGGGCTGAGGAAGAGTTCTTGGGTATGCCACACTAATGCTGGTGGCAGCACAAGGAAGGACATAAAAGTTTTGCTGGTGGGCACGGTATTTTATTATAGAAAAGGCCCCTGACATCATCTCATCCAAGCCCCTTAAAGATGAGGAAACTGAGGCCTGAATAATAAAGGTATTTTCCCAAGGTCACAGTATGAGTTGGGGCAGCTAGCCCCTGCATTCCACCCAGCAGAAGGACATAGGGGTGGAGCTACCAATCGGTCACATCTGCTGAGAAGTAATAGGGTCAGCGAGAAGAGGCGAGAACAAAGGTCTTGGAATCTAGTCTGAGGGAAGCTGGAGGGCTCTTCAGGTGTCTCAGAGCTGACTCAGGCAGACGGTAAGGCCTCTGCTAAATGAATGAATGAGGGAATGGGCAATGGTGAGGAAGGGCAGGGGGACAGGAGAACCAGGCCACTGAGGGGCTGCCGGGAACGAGGGAACCAGGCTTCAAGGAGGAAAGAAAGAAGAAAAGGAACCAACTTTGGTCATTAGAAGCCTGTCCATGACCTTGGAATAGATGATCCTAGTGGGATGCCTCAGGCAGAGCAACCCAGGAAGGAAGTGTAGAAGGGGAAGGAGGTGAAGAGGAGGTGGACAGAAGGTGGGAGTCTTTAAGTATTTGAAGTTGATTTACTGAATCAACTTGAGTATTTTCCAGGATAGAGAAGCATGGCATTTTGGGCAGAGGGAAGGAGAGGTGGCACGTCTGAGAAGGAAACCAAAAATGGTGGCTGGCTTGCTAGGCTGGAGGGCCAAGGACAGACAGCGTGACTTGTGGAGGGAGGATACCGTTTCCTTTGAAACAGAAACAGCAAGATGATGTTGAAAGGGGACTGATGCAAGATGGGGCAGTGCCCACTAGGTCTGGGTCAAGGTCCTCTGGGGAGGGTGGGGGATGTGGAAAGGGGGCTGGAGTAGAAGGGAGTCTGAGAGTGCTCACCCCAAGGAGTCACTGCAGGACCTCATTCACATCAAGCCGCACCCATCCATTCTGGGTCAGGTCTCAGGTGTTCTGGGTCCATCTCTAACTTGAATCTACAGCCGGGAAGCTGCAATGGAGAAATGGTTGAGGAGTGTTCCAGCCTTGGGGTTTGGCCTGGCAGAGATGTCTAAGGTCAGGATCATTGAGATGGGAGGGGAAGGCAAGGGCAGCCAGATGTGACGTTCAGGGAATGGGTCCTGGGTAGCTGGCAATGAGGGCATCAGAATCTGGCAGCACAGCCTTTTTGTGAGCAGCAGTGAAGGTATCAGTCTGAGAAAGGGGCGAGGGGCAATGTTCTCATGCAGAGGGGTGGTGTCATGGGGAATGAGGCAATCCCATGTCACAAAAAGAAAGGGATGTGCCCAGCAGCGTCCAGACATAAGCCACAGTCTGGCTTCAGGGAGAAGAGTGAGCCCTTAGCAGGAATGTCAGCTGGGGCAAAGGAGTTTCCTTGGGTGGGAGTGAGGGGCATGATCTCTGCAGGTGGCCACTCCCCAGGCAGCAGAGTCAAGTAGGTGACAGGATGAGACTGGGTAAAGGAGGCTGCGCAGGGACAGAGGCCGCACTGCTCCCGGAGCCCTTGGGGGAGACGCAGGAGGCACTCACACATGTACAGCTTGCAGAAAGCCCCATCCCACCATCCAACGATTCCCTGCAGGCCCGCAGCCCTGCCTTGGGTCACTGGAGGGCAGATCAAGGACCAACACATGACACTCCAGCCTCATCTCTTTGCTATTTGTTATTAACAAATTTATTTACATTTCCTGAACCAAAATTCATTATAAAACTTAACAGGAAGGGGGTAACATGACCTCTAAGGTGGGCTGTACACACAGTTAGTTGCTCTATTTCCAAACTAAGAACTTGGGTCCTCACCAGTAGCTGGGCCCCCCTTTCTTCCTCTGAAAGGAGACACAGAATAGCGCCAGGCTTCCGGGAGCTTCAACATTTAAAGAGACAATGCATGGATGCAGAGAAGGGTGAGAAGAACCACAGTACAAATTGTAATGAAAAAAAAAAAAAAAGTGGCCAGAGAATCGATAACAAACCCATTTCTGTCTCCAGATTAATGGCTTGGCTGCCAGAAATGGGGGGAGGTCCTTGGGGAAAGAGAGGAGGGAGTGAGGGAGGAGGGTGAGTGGAAGTTGGCAGGTGACACACTGGCCCCGGAATAGCCGAACTCCAGGTGGGCAGCTCAAGCTGAGGAGACAGAGAAGGGCTGAGAGGGGTTCCACATCCTGGGCTCAGGGGAAATGTCAGTGCTGGGCCCCAACTAAGTGCCTGGGGGAGGGAGCTCTGTGAGTGGCACAGCCCGAGCCCCTCCTCTGCTTCATATGTTCCTGAGGATCTGTGTGCAGGAGTGTGGGGGGCTGGGGGAGGGGATGAACACAGGCATTTCGGAAAGCAAGAGAGGCAACATGCTCGTGGAAAAGGAGGCTGGGGTTGGGGGTGGAGAATACCAACAGCTAACCCTCGGCTCTGCAGAGGCAACAGCCTGCGGAGGGCCAGGAAGCTGGGCCAGGACTCCTGCTGCCCCAACTCCTTTGTGGTCCCTCCCCATGCCAACTTCATCTCTGCCTCCTGGCATGGGTGGCCGGCCTCGGCTGGGTAAGCCCACTGTAGACTCTGCCTGGTTAGGAACATGGTGGAGGTGGGAGTAGGAGAGGGCTGCCTCCAGCCCAGATTCTCTCCCAAAGACCTGGCCAGTGGGAGGGCTGGCTCCGTAAGCTCCATGGAGCTGAATGTGACAGCTGCTTACTGGACTTCAAAGGCCAGGCCCAGGCCTCCTTCTGGCTCTTTTGGGGAAGTCCTGGGGCTCTGCCCCTCCTGTGTCCTGATCAGCCCTGGCGGGATGTGTGGCACCCAGCAGAAGAATAAGTTGTGTCTTTGGCCCTTCAGTCTGGAGCTGCCTCGCCCCGTGAAGAGCCAAGCACCTTGGGGACTCATAGGAGCAGCTCTCTGACAGTAGGGGGCTGGGGCTGGGGCCGGGGTTGGGAGACAGGGAGGGAGGGCACCTGGAGAGGCTGGGGGGCCCAGAAGCATCGGGAGCAACTGGCTCCTGCACTGGCTAGCTGGGGCTTGGGGATAGAGGTAGACTTCTTCTCTGCAGGTGCTTCTGAGGGCTGCTCACTGGTAGCTGAGTGCAGCGGGGCTGATGGCCAGCCTGGAGCTATGGGGCAGCTGGCCAGCCTCCTGGGATTCAGGGCCAGGGGCTGCACATTCAGAATCCTCAGGCCCTGGGGGCCACTCTCCGCCTGGCCAGGGGGGATGTGTGGCCCAGAACTCTGCTGGTCTGTCTGTGAGCTGCCAGGGGAAGGGGTCTGGGAGAGAGAGGCAGGTCTGTGAGTGGCATGAGGGCAGGAGGGAGGCAAGGGGCCTAGACTCATGGCCTGAAAGAGGAAGAGAGGGAAGATGCTTGCCACTGGTTGTCCTGGTACCACAGGGGCTGGGGGCTCTTGGGACAAAAAATGAAGCCTGTGGCCAGGAGGCCCCCGCTCTCTTCTCAGCACTGCCACTGGGGAACTGAACCTTCCGCTTGTGGCCAACAAGTGCCAGGTCTGGGCCAGAGGAGAGTTCCATAAAACCACAGCTAGGCAGGAGGCATTGGCAAGCAGGGCTCCTGGACACCAGTGTCCCTGGGTGGTCCACAAACACATCAACTGACCCCTCCAGGTCCTGGCAGCTTGCTATAGGTCCGGGTATCTTGCCAGTCCCTGCACATTCAGCTGGTGCCTGCATGCTGTCCACTGTCCCATCCTGCTCTGGGAAGCCTGATGCCTGGCAGCTGTCTTCTTTCCTCATCCTGGGAGATGCTGCTCTGGGATGGGAGAGCTGGCAGGGGTGCAGAGTCTCAGGAAAGAGAGGGTCACAGTCAGAAGCCAGGGAACCTGACAACCTGTTGGGACAGAAACACCCAGTGAGCCGCAGGTGTCAACTCCACAGCAGGTGTGGCCCAGGGCTGAGGGCACAGGGAGAGCTGCCACAGCTGGCAGTTTGTGTGCTGAGAGAGCTGCCTACTCTGGGGCCTTGTGTGAAAGCCCTCCTGTTTGGGTCTGAACCTGCTGCAGCAGCCAGCACCGTGTGTACTTCTCTTGGCTCTGTGGCCTGTGGTTGGGGCCGACCAGAGGAACAGGTTGGAGGCTCTTCCATTTAATTATTTCACAGAGGAGGCTGTGCCCTTTGGCAACTAGAGAAAGCAGCGCAGTGTCTGGCTGTGAGAGCTGAGCTTGAGGTGGAGATTTGGGATGAGAGGTGAAGCCACTGCCCCAAGTAGGAGAGGATCTGCCTTCCTGGCAGAAAGGGGTAGCTGGGCTCAGAGGGACCTGGAATTCCCACCAATCCCCATGCAGTGGTTCCTTCTGGGCGTGACTTCTAGAGAGGGAGAAAGACTTTGCTCTTTACCCATCTGGGAGGGGCCCAGGAACTACTCCCCCTGCTCCCTGGCCAGAACGGCTTATTATCCACATCAAAGCCTGTAGGAAGGGAGCCACAGTCTGGTCTAGGTCTAATCTTGATCAACTGAAGCCACAAATGGAGGTCTTTTTATTTTTGGCCACCCCCAAAACAAATAGGACCAAGGATGAGGGGAAAAGAAGGTGAGAAAAGAGAAAAACATCACAGTCTGGTCCTAGCAGCCACCAACCTGAGGTCTCTTCCCACCTAGAGGGCAACAGAGGAGAGTGCAGATGCAGTTGTGCCTGCCAGTGCGGCACTCACCTGGGGAGACTGGCCTGGAAAGGAATGTCTGCAAAACTGTGGCTGAGCTGGGCGATGATCCTGTCCACCTCTGCATATGGACGGGCTTCTAGGGCAAAGCCCCGGTGCTGGGCACTCTGAAGATGCTGCCAGGGGGTGAGAGGAGGACAGGGCATTAGATGAGGCCTGCAGGGAAGGGGACACACAAGCTGACCTCCCAGCCCATGCTCTGGCCCTGGAGGACACAGCCACAGCAGCATGGAGATTGAGCAGGAAGGACTCATCCCCAGTGGGCAGGTTCCCTCAGGGCACTCTGGGAGCAGCTGCTGAGTGGGCAAGGGGCTCACCGCGTGGAGTTCCTCAAAGACCTCTTGGCAGCACTCGCAGTAGCCTTTCTTCCTCCTGGGCATGGTTTGGGCAGCTGATCTTGGGCTTGGTTCTCCATCCTTGGATTCTCTGGGGAGGGTACATGGTGCGGCAAAGTGGTTACTGCTGGGGCCCTTGGGGGAGGAGCCCCTACTTCGCGCCTACCTAGAGCCTAGGCCAGGGAGGGGAAGGACCAAGATGGCCAAGGGGCTGGGCAGGCACAGGCAGGAAGGCTGGCCTGAGCTTGGTACCACTCATCTAAGAATGGCAAAAGAGGGAGCAAGGAAGACATCTGGAGATCTCCCTGTGGGCAGCCTGTCTTATCTCTGTCCTCTCTTTTTTTTTTTTGAGACAGAGTCTAGCTTAGTCACCCAGGCTGGAGTGCAGTGGTGTGATCTCAGCTCGCTGCAACCTCTGCTTCCTGGGTTCAAGCCATTCTCCTGCCTCAGCCTCCAGAGTAGCTGGAATTACAGGTGCCTGCCACCATGCCTGGCTAATTTTTGTATTTTCAGTAGAGATGGGGTTTTACCATGTTGGCCAGGCTGTTTTTGAACTCCTGACCTCAAGTGATCCTCCCACCTTGGCCTCCCAAAGTGCTGGGATTACAGGCGTGAGCCACTGTGCCCGGCCAAGCCTGACTTATCTGAATATTAGCCCCATATTTGTAACAACCAAAGGATGTTTCTATCTGGCTATCCAGCAAACTCAACAAGTTTAGAACATTCCTTTTAAAGCCTTCCTATGACACAAAACGCAGATAATATACAGAAAAACTCAAAAATTCAGCTATCTACAACTTTAAAATATGTATACACGGCAAAAGCATCATTAGCAAATGATATGTTAGGCTTTGTGTCTCCACCCAAATCTCATATTGAATTATAATCCCTAAAATTCCCATAATCCCCAAGTGTCAAGGGAGAGACGGGGTGGAGGCAATTGAATCATGGGGATGGTTTCCCCCACGTTGTTCTTGTGATAGTGAGTTCTCATGAGATCTGATGGTTTCCTAAGGGGTTCTTCCGCCTTCACTTAGCACTTTTCCTTCCTGCCACCTTGTGCAGAAGGTGCCTTGCTTCCCCTTTGCCTTCCAGCATGATTGTGAGTTTCCTGAGGCCTCCCTCGCCTTGCTAAACTATGAGTCAATTAAACCACTTTCCTTTACAAATTACCAAGTCTCAGACAGGTCTGTAGAGCAGTATGAAAATGGACAAATATAGCAAAGTTAAAAGACAAACCACAAACTTGGGATTTTGTTGTCTTTTAAAAATATTTACAACTTCTCTGGTCAAGGAGGCTTAGAAATAAATAAATAAATATATATATATTATTAAATATATTTAATACATTTAAATGTATATATACATATATATATTTACAACCGCCAGGTGTGGTGGCTCACACTGTAATCTTTGTACTTTGGGAGGCCAAGGCGGGAGGATTGCTTGGGCCCAGGAGTTTGAGATCAGCCTGAGCAACATGGTGAAATATCATCTCTACAAAAAAATATTAAAATTAGCCAGGTGTGGTGGTGTGCATCTGTAGTCCTAGTTACTCGGGGGGCTGAGGTGGGAGGATTGCCTGAGCCTGGGAGGTAGAGGTTGCAGTGAGCAGAGAAAAGAAAATATTTGTAACTATGAAGGGCTC